AAATATTATTACTTCATCGAGGTGACTCTCTTTCCTTGCTGTTTGCAGTTTGACAGCATTTCTTTCCAGGTTGGATTCACCCTGCTATTCAACCTGGAATGTCTGATCAAGATTGTCTGTTACGGGTTCAGAAATTTCCTGCGAAGAGGAATTTTCAAATTTGAATTGATTTTATGCATTGGCAGCTCGTTGAATGCCATCAAATATTTTTATGATAGGAACTATTTCACCTACTTTCAAGCATTTCGTCTTCTTCGACTGATAAAGGCATCTCCTATACTCGAGGATTTCGTGTGGAAGGTAAATAGATCCATATTTTTTAAAAATTCCTATCAAAATAAAATATGGATCTTTTACATAAAGGAATATCGAAAGATTTTTTATATGCAATTTATATAACCATCGAAAATTCGATATATCGACCAAGCGAGATTTCTTTGAAAGGAGTTAATTTATAACTCGATTTTATTCTTTTCCTATGGTTCTCTCCCGAAGTCTATAATTTGATGATTTCGTGTACTTTCTGCTTGAATTCTCACTAAGAACTTTTCTTTTACCAAGTACGCGCAACTTTCCTTATTTCAGATTTTTAGTCCTGGTAAGAAACTCGGAGGTCTCGTGATCTTCACTATAACATTCGTTATCATTGCTTCTGCCATCTCCTTGCAGCTCTTTTATGCTGTTCCAAATCTTGAATATTTTCACACCTTTCCTCGGGTACAGTTAAATTTCTTTTCTGCTGTATTTTACCATATTTTTACCAGGCATTTATGTCGATGTTCCAAATCATAACTCAAGAAGGATGGACCGATTTTGTGGTTGAAGTGCTCCGAGCCACAGATGACAAACTTGTGCCTTTCGTTGCTGTCTACTTCGTTGCATATCATCTTTTCGTTACTTTGGTAAGTACAGTTTCCAAGATTGGTTACGAAATCTGAAGTGTGGAATAACAAAACATTCTAGATTAAAAAAAAAGAATCCTAGTTAAGCGGAAGAACAATGAATCGTTCTCTGCAAGTACACAATCTTTCTCTGTCCAATTTTTTGATCGTAGCATGGTGCGAAAAGTCTCCTTCAGATTGTGCTGAGTCTCTTTGTCGCAGTCATCCTTGACAATTTGGAGATGGACGAAGAACTAAAGAAAGTCAAACAATTGAGAGCAAGAGAAGCAGTTCGTTGCCTTCACGAATGAATCGCTGAAAATGTCAAAGTTGAAATTTACAGACCACTTCTATGCGATCCACATTACCTTGGCGATTGCGGGTATTTGAAAAATTTCCAACAAGACCACAAATGGCTGCAATGAGGAGGTGTCATCTGATTTTCTTCGATTTCATGATGTTTCAAACTTGTTTTTCAGGTGTTCTTGAAAATAACATATTGAATGAATTTAGGTGGTCGTTATTTCTCTTTTTATGACTTTTGTTACGTTAGCACCCATCATTATTTTGATACTTTATATTCATGATACCGAAATAATCGGATTTTTCAATCAAGAAAAATGCAAAGAAACGTTGAAGAGCCATAATGCGCTGCAGCTGATGATAAAATACATAAGAAATTGTGCTATGTTGCTTGTTCTCGACAATAACTGGAAACTATTGAAAAAGAATATCAAACAATTTTTAATCTCACTTCTTTTCAGAGTCGACTCCGAGTTTCCCATGCCAAAAGTTCGTGATAGTTTTGCCCATCAATTCGCGCTGGAGGGTGTCGACACCGAACTATACGATCAAGGTGCGGTCTGCAAGTTTTCACTTCGGAATTACATAATATACAAGGTTTGTTTCTCAGATGAAGACCGTCCGAAAACGGTGCTACAGTTGTCTAACACGAAGCGTTTTCACCGAGATGAGCCGCATTTTCGACACATCGGGAGTGTCTCTCTGAAGACAAGCATAGCAAACCTTCTAGAGTGAGTCTTCTGCAATTATCGTCGTCAATTAAGCGAAAATTAACACATTTGAACAGTTTGGACGATTGTTTCGAAAATAAAGTAAAACATCACAAAAAAGACTAACCTGTTGCTTCAATTTGTGAGGCGATGAACATAGATCCATTTATTCAGTCATCTTTTTAGCCCTAAAAAGACTATACACATTCTACTGAAGATAGTTTAGAAATTTTACGATTTATTTTACTCACGAGGAGCAGCCTTCGAAGAAAGGCAAGGTTTCTGTGATGCATTCTAA